ACCTGTTCAAGTTCAGAACATATGTTAGCTCTTCTTGTGTTTGGACTTTGTCAAATCCATGCTTTCACTGATTATCTTCGAAGCAAACTTTCCGAAGATGATTTTAAAATTCTATTTCAAACAGTTGCTGTTTTTATCATTGGCGGAACTGTAATTATTTCCTTGATCGCAACATTAACGGGTAATTTTTTTTTTAAATATTATTTTAAAATTATAGTTAAGTACAAATTATAGTTGCGTATGTTTTATTGAAGGTAAAATATCTCCGTGGACTGGTAGATTTTATTCATTGTTGGATCCAAGTTATGCAAAAAATCACATTCCTATAATAGCATCCGTATCTGAGCATCAACCCACATCGTGGAGCTCTTTTTATTTTGATCTCCAAATTCTTGTCTTTTTATTTCCTGCCGGTTTATATTTTTGCTTTTCAAAACTAACCGACGCAAATATATTTCTCATTTTGTATGGAGTAACGAGTATTTATTTTGCCGTTAGTATTACCCTTTTTTTTTATATTTATAAAAAGTGATTAAAAAATTTTTCAGTTATTCACATATTTTTTAAATTTACAGGGTGTGATGGTCCGTTTAATGTTGGTTTTAGCACCTGTCATGTGCATTCTCTCAGGTATTGCAGTTTCCTCTATGCTTACAATATACATGAAACAAATAGATCCTTCCAAAGCAACCGAAAAAAAAAGTAAAAAAATGGAAAATAATTTCGTTATGAAAAGTCAGGTACAACAATGAATATTCTTTAAAAAAAAGAATGAATGTTAAAAATACTTACGATTTTAATTATAATTACATTTAATTAGGTTGCAACAGCTTTTGTCGGAATTATGTCATTTCTTCTTATTTCTTATACTTTGCATTGCACTTGGGTTACTTCAGAAGCCTACAGCAGTCCAAGTATTGTTCTTTCTGCCAGATCTCATGATGGTTCCAGAATAATTTTTGATGATTTCAGAGAGGCGTATTATTGGCTAAGGATGAACACTCCAGAAGTTCGTAAGATTTTCTGAAATAAATTATCAAATAACTTAAAAAAATTGCCAAGTTATAATTTTGTATGTGGTACTTTCTGGTTTTTTTTAGGATGCTCGAGTTATGTCTTGGTGGGATTATGGATATCAAATTACTGCCATGGCCAACAGAACAATTTTAGTTGATAATAACACTTGGAACAATACGCATATTTCAAGAGTAGGTCAAGCCATGGCATCTTCTGAAGAAAAAGCTTATGAAATAATGAAGGAATTGGACGTGGATTATGTACTCGTTATTTTCGGTGGTTTAACAGGATATTCTTCTGATGGTGATTGTTTTTCTTATTGTTATTACTTGTATCCTAAGTATTATCCAAAGTTATTTAGCATCCATCTCAAGGTTTTATCCGATTCCACAAAAATGAACGCTTGATTCTTTTATTTTGAGATTTCTTCTTACAAAATATTTTCATATACTAAAAATAGTTGTTAACTTGATGTAATTTATTATTATTTAGATATAAATAAATTTTTGTGGATGGTTCGAATCGGGGGTTCAACGGACAGAGGAAGTCACATTCGGGAAGCCGATTATTATTCTCAATCCGGAGAGTTTAGAATCGACAAAGAAGGATCGCCGACATTATTAAATTGTTTAATGTACAAAATGTGTTATTATAAATTCGGTCAAGTTTTTACAGAAGGAGGTAAGAAATCATAAAAAGTCGATTTAATGTTAAATTGACAAAAAATGGAAGAATAAAGTAGTAAATTCAAAATTTAAATTTTTTTTAGGAAAGCCTCAAGGTTACGACAGAGTAAGATCAGCCGAGATCGGAAATAAAGATTTTGAATTAGATGTATTGGAAGAAGCTTATACTACTGAACATTGGCTCGTTCGAATTTATAAAGTTAAAGATTTACAAAATAGGGGACTTTAGATTATTATTATTATTATTAATTTAGAATTTTTGGGGTTCACAATTAAATAAAAATTATCAATAAGAATTTCATATTACTAATAATAATATTAAATAATAATTATATATAATAAATTTTTATAATAATAATAATGATAAGTAGTAGTTTATGATATGGGAACGCGACGTCGCCAATTAAAGTTATAACCTAACCTAACAAACATGTAGGAAAAAATTTGTGCAAATTTTTTTTTTTTTTTTAATATATTAAAATAGATTCAATCCGAGGGATAGCTTGGGTACCTTTGGTACTTGGTGCTGTGCTAAGTATAAGCTTAGGAGGTCATTCATATGACGATTTTAATACATCGACACAGCATAGAAAGTGCGAACAAATTAAAATTCAATTTTGCAAACAAGAAGATGCCGGATTGAATGTTCATCAGTACTTTCCTTTACTAAAATTTAAATTATAGTCCAACCGTACAATAATAATAATTACCATTATTGGTATAAAAAAATAAAAGGAAATTACATATTTAAAAAAATATATAGTAAATGTGTATTTAAACATTAATAATAAAACTTTTCTTAAGATAAATTATAGATAGATTTATTACATATGTTAATTTAAAAAAAAAAAAAAAAATTATTTTTGTTAATAATAATAATTTACAATAAAGCCATTTAAATAAAAATATGATCTAAAGAATGATTTAAATAATTTATAAAAAAGATAATAAAAAAAAAAAAAAAATTTTTTTCTTGTGATTTCGGCTCGGATGTAATCATAATGATAACAATAACAATAATAATAATATTAAAAGCTATTACTGCAATGCTCAGATAATTATTCTTCTTTCAAATCATTTTTTTCTCAGCAGCTTCAAGCAAGTTTTTTACTTAATAATTTTTAAACTTTTTCCTTCTTTATTTATTTAACAACAATCAATCATGCTTCTGTCAACGAAGGTAAAAAAAAATAAATAAATAAATATTTCAACATCTTTCTCCGAAACCTCCGGAACCGGAACGATAACGTTCCCTTCTTCCAGGATTTAACACTGTATTTTCCCGATTTTCACTATTTATTGAATATTCATTGGGTATATTTCTCACTTCGACTTCTGAAAAAAATTTTAAATTTTAAATTTCAATCAATTTTTCATTGTTTTCAAATGAAAAAAAAAAAAATGAAATATCCTACCCGTTCGTCGCGTTTGACGAGATGCATCTGCTAAAGAAGGTAGGGAATCCGTTCTGCTGCTGGGAACAGTTGAAATCGAACCAAAATCTGAACCCGTATCTGAAGAAGACCATCTTCTTAATGGATTTTCCTTTAAAAAAAAAATACAAAAAAATGTAAATTTTTAAACTGATAATATTAAAAGAATTTTAAATTTTTCGTACAGATAAAAATAAAAACATTTATCAAATAAACAAACAACATCTTCCATTGATATTCTAGAGAGAGAGAGAGAGAGAGAAAGAAAAAAAAAACAAAAGCAGACTTTGTCACCCGCTTTTGAAAAAATTCTAAATTATTTTTCAAATATATAAATATATATATAAAAAAAAAAAGAAAAGTCTGCTTAAATTAAACTCAATTATACTATTTATTACTGATGTGAAAAAATTTACGGCGAAACGTGCAAAAGTTCCTGCATTTGTTGTTCCGTTTCCGGTATTTCTGACTAACGGAGTTGTTTCATCTTCCGTTTCCGAATCAAAATCAGCAACCGTTTCTCCGCTTGCGAATACTTTTCTTTTGCAAACGGGACAAACTCTTCTTTTTTTAGTTAACCACGGATCAATACATTTTGAATGATAAGCTGAAATAACAAAAAATTCATTCGGTTTTTTTTAATCCGAGTGTGATGATTATTATTATTATTGTTATGGACAAACCGTGAGAACAAGGCAAAACTCGAAGTTTATCATTTTCAACGTATTCTTCAAGGCAAATGGCACAAATTTCGTAAGGATCATTTTTTTTAAATTTATGAACTGTTATCTTTTTTAAACTTGATTTTGGTAAACAATATCTTCTTTGTCGTCTTCGATCTTTAAAATATTTAACAATCTGCAATTTAAAAAAAAAAATATATATATAAAATCACATTAAGACATTAACATGAATGTAAAGTCAAAAAAAAAAAAGGGGGGAGGGCAGTACTTACAAGAAAAAATAAAATGACGAAAAAACAAAAACCTATGAGTACAGAAAAAATAATTAAAAGCTGAGAAGTGAAATTGAATGGAATATCATCAGTTATTAAAATGTAATATCCATTGTCATATAAATAATTCATTTTAATTAAGAGTCCAGCATCCGAACTTATAAATATTGAAGGTATTCGAATCATATTTGGATTATCAGCGGCCATAGGTTCTGTAATAAATAAAAACAAAAAAAAAAAAAAAATATTAATAATTCATTCCCCGTCACTAATATATTAATTGTAATCACGTAATTTCCCCCTCCCCCTCTCTCTCTCTCTCTCTTTCTAATAATATAAAAATTTTTTAAATAATGATAATAAAAAAATTAATAATTTTTTCAACTTAATTAGTTTTAAATTTTGTCAATTTTTTTATTAGTTCAAATTAAATTATTTTTGTTTTTTAAAATTAAAAATTTAATTTATTTTTAATGATAACAAAAATAATAATAATAATAACTTACTTAATACACTAGAATTAACATTATGTACAATAGCAGCATCATATCCTGCAATCTGGGCGTTTCTTACTTTGATCTCAAATTCACATCCATACCTCCTGATAAGAACTATCCATTTTCCATTGTAATTTGGCAAATTAGGAGGTTTTTCAATGTATTCGCATGCATCTGGAGGATTTGAATAAACTGTAAAACCCTACAATGTTTATACTAAAATGTTAAAATCAAAAAAAAATATATTGATTTTTTTTTTTTTTTTTTTTCCATGACAAAAAAAAAAAAAAGAAGCAACAATAATAATGAAAAAAATTACATTGAATCCAAAACCTGAGGAAAAAAAAAAAAAAAAAAAAAAATTCTTAACATCACAATGAGAGCTAGAACTACTCAGATAAAAGAAACTTTTCAATAAAAAGTATGAAAGTTAATTTCATTAATTCATTTAAATAATAATTTGCCATTAGGAAAACTTTCAGTGAAGATTAAAAAAAAAAAAAGAAGCAAACTGTTCAAGATGCCGAATTAAAAATCTTAAAAATTTCATTTTTATTTATGCCATCAAAATTTTAAATAAGTTTCGTCATTAAAATTTATCATGAAAAAACTTATAGCAATTGTATATATTAATATCAATATAGATAAAATTTAAAAATAAATATAAGTTAAAAACTTAATATAGTTATTGATATTTTTTAAAGTAATCATTAAAAAAGTTATATTTTACAAATTATAATTGAAGAACGAAAAAACGAATATTAAAATCACATAATAATGTTTTTCCGCCTCCGAGTTCATGTCGATGAAAATTCATAAACATTAATTTCTTAAAATTAAATTCAGTAAATTAAAATACTATAGTGGTGTTATACAAAAAAAATTTATTATAAAGTATTTTAATATGAGATAAAATAAATGGTAAGAAAATATAAAAATTAATGGAGAATATTTTTAACGAAAAATTAAATTACGATATTAAAATAATTTTTCCAAGTAGTTCTAGTGTTATTTGAAAAAAATCAATTATAAATTCTTACAGTTATTCCTTCTGGAGGAACAGCATCACCAAATTTAGATGGTACATCTTTGAACTCAATTTCAACTTCACTAGTGTTTAAATTATAAACAAGAATATCACAATTGGCAAGTTTTAATAAAAAAAATAAAAAAAGTTTCTTAAAAATATTTTTTACAACAAACATTGTGATGTTTTTAATACAAATTTCAATCAATCACTACTTCACAAAATTGAAAAACAGACAAATAATTACTTAAAGTAAAAAAAAAAAAAAAAATAGTAATAATATATGAATATTTCATCTCATTAATTATTTTTTAAATTCAATAATAATAATGATAATAAAAAAAGAAAGAAAAATATAGTCTTGTTGATTTATGGTAATTCAACATGTAAAAGTTTCATTTTTCAATTCCAAAAAATTTTATAAAATAAACATTGTGAAAATGATACCTAAAAAAAAAGTAACAGGTACTGTAAGGAAAATTGTTTTTAAAAAATTAAAAAATTAAACAAAGAAAATTAATTATAAATGATGTAAATATGAGAGCAAAGTTTAAAAGATTAATTTAATAAAAATAATTAATTAATAATAATATTTACACTTTTAAAAATTATTTTTTTGTAATTAAAGGCCGAAACGACCTTATTACGATAAAAAAAAAAGGATTTAATTTAAATTTCTATTATTCCCTTATTTAAAAATAAAATATATATAAGAAAAATTATTAATTTACGTTTT